CCTTGCCAGCCCGCTCAGAGATGTGTATAGAGACATATATATACATATATGTATATAGAGACAGCTGCGATATCTTTTTCGTGGACCGCATTGCCCGACAATCGCGCGTACTGCGCCCCATTCATCGTACTTACGCGTATGGGGTAAAGTTAAACCGTGCGTTGCACGCGGTCTCCCACGCGACATAATGGGGACCGATGAAAAATTTACCACGTATCTGGCATATATTTCAGAAATGTGATCTTGGAATTTAACGGTAACGTGAAAAGGATAATTGTTTTCCAGTGTAAGATGCGCAATTCCGCGGAAATATAAGGTCTAGCCAATCTAATTTAATTATTATTCTTCACAAGAGTATCACTTCGCTCGAACGAATATTATTGGATCATTTGATGGATCAGCTAATACGAAACATGATACATAATAGCTTGAATGAATAACGTATAGAAACTTCCGCGGTTTATTATACACGTAATTTAATTCGATAAGTCTATTTGACTCTCGCGCGCGAGTCGACAAAAATAATGACCGAATCGTCAAAGAATAGTTCAACCAATCTCTTTTAATGTACTTTTCACTAGAAATTAATGGATATTTCTCCTTCGGTTGAACTTTCATCCTTCGAGTTTGGAAAGAAGTGCCATTTGCTGCGCTGGAAAGGGAAGGGGCAGGAAAAGAAGTATGAAAGTGTGTAGAAGAGATGCCACTTGAAAGAACTAATCTAATATCACCACCATAATCGTAGAAGAAATTCGCCTGTGGTGAACCGCATCCGCAATGCAGTGATTCCCGCGCAAGATAGAGCATAGAACCACAACTGCAGGTTTTACGCTAATATTAATTGACAAACGCGTTTGGTTATCGAGAAAAACGTTTTCGTTTTTAAAATAAAAGCACAAATTATTATTAAGAATTATATTATAATTAAGTATCAGGAAAGACCGTAGAATGTTAACAAACAATTGAGATCGTAAAACGTCAACACGGTACAAAGCGAATCTTGGTGCTTCCATATAATATTAGTGTGAATCTTACAATTTTCGGTTCATATAACCGAATTTAATAATTATATTTATTTTATCAATTTTCTATATGCAACGTAAATTATTTTGTAAAAATCAATACAGCCTCGGGACGTTTGAAACTGTGGTAATCCCCTCCTCTCATTTGAAATGTCAAATAGGAAAAAAAAAGAATTACTTCAAGATTATTCATCGTTTAAAGGTGTTGACCGTTTAGCGAGCAAAGTGACAGAAACTTCTGCATTGCATTATCATAGTTCACCGCGATAATTTCTTTTCGTCGCGAATATATACAATTCCCAGAATTTCCCAAAATACTTCCGTACTTTATATTGCAAACTAGCCCGGTACATCGTCGTCCTGTTGGACAAACTTATCCAGTTATCGAGTAACCCATATATCGACTTAGCAAGTTACTCCAACAACCTGACGATATTATGCTCGTCGGTCCAGAAGAGCCCGATCTCTAATTGGACATGCTTTTATACCTAACAGAAACTGCCACATAGCGACGGCAATTAAGTGCACGTTTAATAACCCGCATGTACGACGATCACAGCATTTTGTCAACATACAGGTTTGACACATACACGAGAGTTAAATCATGGTAAATATATATCTCTCCCTCGTGTCAACAGAAAATTCAATCGGCATTCACTAATTTAATCTCCCGTGACAGAACTATAAAATAAAAATTACGTCGTGGGGATATTTTATAGCTTTAAGTAAAATTTACGCGCCGCATTTTTTTGTGATATTATATAATTCATCTGTTATTTACATATACTGTTATAAAACTGAAGTTCTTTTACAGAGACGTAAATCTAAAAAAATCAGTCTAACATCACTCAATATTAAAAATTAAGGATTTGAAATGGCGATTAAACTCTTAAGAATTACATAATGCGAAATCTTGCTCTGCAATTAATTTTAACATAACTTTAATAAGATTCTGGGCATAATTTTAAACGCGCATTACAGATTAAAAGAAATTAGATAATCGTTAATTTAACACGCATTTAAAATTACTCCTGAAGACTTCTGAAAGTTATGTTGCGATTAATTGAAGAGCAAGATTTTTCGTTATGTGATATATTCCTCTAGGACTTTTATCGCCACTTAAAGCTTTTAATTTTTAATGTTGATCAACCTTGACATGCCTTGACATTAAAACGATGATCGATCGAAGAGCAATAAGCGGCCTTCCACGTAAGTTTCATCGAGGATAAGCCGGGTTTAATCTCGCCGTAGAATCCACGTTCGCGGAAGGACACTCGGGAATACAACTGAAAATAATTTGCTGAACATTCGCGGATAATAGATCAATGATACTAACGAACGCCCGCGGCAAACTCCAAACGAGCTATTTCGACGGTCGGTGAAAGATATAGATGGCAAGGGAGGGAAGCGCAGAGAGAGAGAGAGAGAAAGAGAGGGAGAGAGAGAGAGAGAGAGAAAATAAAGGACCGAGGACCGAATAGAACGTTCAATTATTCCACGTCGAATCTGTTCGCTGTTTTTGTGCACGGAAACTGTCGTTGCGCCGCAACGTCCGTACGTCGGGGGACATGCAGTCGCGCGAAAATCTACGATAAAAGGGTGGCGCGCGCATTGAAAGCAGTTTTGTCCGTATGTTACACGCGGCCGCTCGACTTCTCCTCGTACGCAATTTGTTTCGGGAGTCGTTGTCGTCAAATATCGTTGCTACTACCAGCGAAAATTCATCGTTTTCGAATACCGCTTCTACGGAAAATAACTGCGCGCCATGCAGTACATCCGCGGCTTTTACCTTTACCGAGAGATTTTGAGATTTATCTGAAAATATTGTTCCACCTTCTAAAAGCTCAATATTGAACATTTTAACAATTGGTCCTTCTTAAATTTTTCTTAAAGCAAAAAAAAAATAATATATATATATGTAATACACACGCACACACACACACACACACACACACACACACACACACACACATGCATATACATCTACATATGTATGATATATACATCTATGCTGTGTTTACGGCATGCAATGCCCTTTCGTCACTTTCGATGATGCTATATCTTGTTATCACAGGTATTTAATACAATTTAATATATAATAATTGGTTAGCTTCATAGATAAGAACCAATTATGTTCAATCGTTTGATGAGCTGCAGGCTAACTGTTATATACCAGCTTGAAGGCACCCACAGTGTGATATTTGAGAGACAAGTGGCTGATTCAAACTGAAAAAATTGATGGAGGAGCCAACGATCAATCTACTTTGTGATGAGTTGAGAATTATCTTTAAATACTTAGATTTTAGGAATCTAGCGAGCGCTGCGATGGTTTGCAAGTAAGTATATCTACGATCCGTTAATGATCCATGCTTTATTTAATTCTGCAGAACACTTATTTAATACAAGCAGAATGCTAATATGGTTATGGTTTTCTATCATCATGTGTATGTGAAAGAATACGAACAAGATTTAATTTACAAGTAATCTCTTGTGGTATTTCATGTATCTTATATCTTTAAAAGTTTATTCATAATAAAACTATTAGTGATAATATTTAACATCGCTGTATGGCAAATAAAAAGTTCATGACATTGTAAACTAAATACAGCATAAATAAACTTGAGTATGAAATTATTTTTTTCAAATTATAGAAGTTGCGAATGAGGAGAAACGGGCAAGAGGTCCTTGTTGCTTCAAACAACCTTATAAATGTTATACAGCACGCGATTTTTTATGCCAAGAATATAAAAATTAAACCATCAGTAAGTTTATTACATTTCTAAAGCGCTTTTGAATTGAATCGAGCAAGCGATCATTTATTCAGCGTGATCATTGTTTGAAACAAGCAGAAAACAAATGCAAATAATCCACGATACTGAGTTGTTTTATAACATTTGTAAAGTTATCGTTTATTTCCAGTTTGAACACTGATTTCAACATCGCGTGTGCTATGCAAGCACAAAGTCGCACACTACACGGGGTCTATGCACTCGGTATAAAACTGCAACCTTTCTGAATGTAATTGTAATCCCCTGCTTGTACTTTCGCGCTTGTGATACAACATGCGAGATAAACCAGGAGAAACCAGGCCAAACGAAAGGGTATACTATCGTGATACCGCCAGGATTTAAAAAGCAGTCTCCATTCTGCGTCATCGGTGATTTAATTTCTGCGATTCCGTGATTCGTAGCTTTAACGTGAGATCTGCACAACTCGTGATCGAATTCCCCTTGCTCATAAAGATATTAAATCAGACATAAATAAGACATTACCGAGTCTAGTATCGAAGTCAACTTTCATTTTTGTTATATTGCAATATTCTATTTATTTGCAACAATGGTTTGCGCCAAAGATACTACGACTATAGAGAGATATGGGGAGATATGGCTACTGGATATTCAGACGGCAATGGGCAGCCCCATGTAGCAGTGTTAAAGGTCCAAGGCGAAAGGAGAGGCGTATTGGATAATTCGGAAATAGCCTACTTAATCTATACTCGGTATCCAACTACAATTTCCAATGCGCATATTATTTAGCAACATGCTATCGCGCTGCAATATTCTTCCGTTATTCATTCAATTTAGCTTCTTGCAGTATTTTTAAGATCTAAACCGAAAGAGAGCATACGGATGACTTTAAATGACACCACGAATTTCGCCGGCTTCAATTTCAAGCCTTTGCGAAAAATGAAGTTCATAAAGCACGAATGGAAGTCGAGCGCCATGAGTACCGGGCTTCTGAACATGAAAAAAGGCGCGGCCGTTTGTTTTTCCAATTTGTTTTGCGAAGCGTTTTGTTTAGGTCTCGGTTTATTGTGGCGAGACACACTCGTGGATAATTAACTTGCACTTTTTCGAGCAACTTTTCTCACGGTGACTACAACGTCATCCTAATTATGGTTTGGGAACCCGTGGAAGCACATTTTACTTGAGACCGATATATAACACCGCAAAAGTCGGTATAACACCGCAAAAGTCGGGATTGGTGCTGCCAGTTTTATAGATTTCTCAGTGAAAGAATCTGGACTAAAAACGAAAGACGTTAATTTTATCGGTATACACATGCTTGTATGACACAATGACGGTAAAATTAAATTCAATTTCGTTGAGTAGCATCACGTTATTGAGTATCATCACGCAACATATTATTTTTTTATCCATTTTTCAATGATCCAATGTTCGAATGAAATTAAAAATATAATGAATAGGTATCTTTGTATCTTCATTTTCATCGAAAAACTATTTTGTAATCCTATGTAAAAGTTTTACTCCATTAACCATTGCGCGTATCTTTAATTAATTAGTCACAGAATAAATAATCTTTTCTATACTTATAGTCACCTATTCTCCCATAAGTTACACGCATTTTTAATGAATGTAATTTCATTTAAATTAGACAATCGCAACAAGCTTGTTCCATGCAACAAGCTTCTTTGTAGTAATGATAGCGGCGAAAATATATTTACATTAAATACATTCTTCAAAGAGGCCACGCCGGACTTTGTGATTTTTCCGGTTTTCGTCGCCTCGTGCGCGACAAAAAAAAGACAGCGAGCGATATTAAATTTGCGTCGCGCGCGTCCTGCACACGTGCCAAGAAATGGCGCGACCGAAGGTTAATTGGATCTTCCCCGGTCGGGGCTTGAACGAAATGTCGGACGGGCACGCATTCCTAAGGAGGATATTGGCTAATGCATACATCTCCGCGACGCGCGTATCTCTTCTCGCTCGTAATATTATGCGATAACTCACCCGACCGCTTCTTTGTAGACGACGCTGAAGAGCACTATTCCCACGCCGGTACCGGCCTGCACCACCATCTCGACGAACTCCCGTCGTTTTCTGAAGTAATTGCCCAACACCAGACTGGCGGTTTCCCTCACGAGGCCAGCACCCGTGCCCAGCACCAGGCCGTAGCTGTGTTACATTTTGTAAAGGTAAATCGTATGACTTTGCACCCCGAGTGCCGCGCGAAAGGCATAAGCCGCGGCGATATATTTTAGCGGAAAGCGAAGAGCCGCACAAACGAGTCGCTGACGTTTTAAAGAAACTTGAACAGCTCGGAATATATCGAGCCACAAATATTCATTTCTCACCATTTTTTTTTTCTCATGCCTTTCCCAACTGAAAAGGCATGGGGCGCTATTACGCGTTTCAGCTTTAAAAGCCATTCAAAAGCAGAATTAAACGTGTAACTATTACCATAGAAATATGCAGCTCTGCGCATTGCTGTACGTATAACGGCACACAGAATGCATTTCAGAATTCATATTAACATCAACTAAAATTTCGCGTAGATGTCGTCTTTTGCAAAGTGCGGTATTCCTCTTTTCAATTTAAATAATATAGCATACGATAGCATACGCGTCTAAAAAGGGATTAAAGCATATAATAAACGTCTGTATAAATAATTGCTTATTTTCGCTGTGAAAAACAACTTCGATAATTCACTCAGCATGCATGCTATTAATATTTCATCCGTCGTATAAAAGTTAACAAAATACCCCTCCGTCTACCCTTCGATTATTTTTATCCGTCGCGATAATTCTCTCGCGGTCAAACGTCACTTGCATAGAAGTTGACAAAAAAAAATCAGCCCTCCCCCGTCTCCTCTCCCCACGCGCCGTCTACCACCCATTATTTTTAACGCAAAAACGTCCGCTGCGCGATAACTCTTCCCAGTCAGACGGTCGATAGCTGTGGCATTTGCGCTGTTACGCACCTAAGGAGCACTTGATGCATCTGGACGGCGAACGAGGTGAAGAACGACGCCAGAGCCAGCACGAGGCCACCGATCACCGCCGTAAGCCTCGTATTGCCACGGCGACACGCGCCGACGACCAGCGGCGCTGAACCACGGGAGATCGCGGCGCTCAACGCCCCCGCCCACACTGAAACATTTACCGGATAGTCACTTCGAGGGGGTGGACTATTAATTGGAGCGTGACTGCGGAATATCAAAAGCAAAAGGAGCGCGATTCTGGGTTCTAAACGCGCGTCCTAAACGCGCGGGCGGTCCTAATTACATCGTCGGCCGTTTTTTTTTTTTTCGAAGGAGGGACGGTTTTACATTTGGTTGATTTCTTCCTTCCTCGTTCTGACCTGGACCGAGAGCTCGTTTGCTGATTGATTTCGCGTTTGTGCGCGCTAACGAGGAAACGCTCGCAAACCGGAACACGGTTGCCACTCCTTGCCCGCGTGGACCCAGGCGTTCGCGCGAACGGGTGAAAATAATTTTTCACGTGTTTTTCACATCCTCTGCGTCCAATACACCCTCGCGTTCGCGCGACTCGCCGGAACCGCGCTTTCCGAACGCTCGGATCCGAGCTCTCGATGCGGGGAAAACCTCCGAAGACACGAACACTCGCGCGCGCGTAAATGTTGTTTCGACATTTTTTATTTTCCACCGCGTGTCCGAGGCCACGAAACGCTTTTTCAGAAAAATTCATTGGTCTCTGGTATTTTTTCGCGGCGATTAAAATTTCGGCCCCAAAAACTCTTCTCGTACGGCTGTCACATGTAATTTTTAGTAGAAAAAATTTTCTGAAAACGTTATTTCACGATGTACTTCTTAATAATTATATCATTACGCATTCTCTCAAACATTTTTTGTGTTATACCATTAATATGAAGTCTTATCTTTCCTTAATATTATAGATTATTATTATTTCCTGTTACTATTTCATTATTATTTCCTATTCATTATTATTTTATCTTCTTTTTTTTATTAATTATATTATATAAAAGGTTTAGATTTACTGATGCTTCATCTCTCGAGGTGCTCTTTTCTATTACATTTGTCTTAATAATTTATGTCTTACACTTTAATAAAGTTATTAGTGTTATTATATTTTTCCACATTCTATTTACTTCATTATTTAAATTCAGGTATTTATTAACTCGCTATCTCGCTATCGCGTCGCGCATCAAAGTAACACACACACACACACACACACATACATGGCACAAGAAAAACATTCTTCTCTTGCTTTCCAGAGTACCGTGTTTTCGACAAAGTCATCGGATTTATCGCACGACTCTTCGTAATTGCTCCCATTGGCGTCGAATTTCGCAATTACCGGACGAAATCTTCGTAACGTCAACTAAGCTAGTTTTCTGCGACGAGCGCTTAAATCGTTAATCACTGTTTACGACGATGCGATAATACCGTGCTCTCGAATTCCTCGAATGTTTCCAGGAAAGAACACAAACGGGGATTTTCCATTGAAGGAATTTATAAATTTACAATTAAACGGAATAAGATCCTCGGATCTCGTACGTAACAGCGCATTTGCGGCAGGAAGAGACGATCACGAGACGTTGTCGGGGTGTTGAGAGAAGGCAATTCGCGGGGACACTACGATCGTAATCCGCGCGGACGCGCGCAAAGATTTATGCAAAACTTTACGCCCTGTCGCGGCTGTGCGGATAAAAATTCTGATGTCTGTGAGAACGAGATATGGCGTTGCGCGCGCGTTGCAGACGCGAAGACGTTCGCGTCGCCGCGCGGCACGGAATACGAAAAATCGTCGGGCGATTTGATGCGGCATGCATCGCGTCGCGGCGCGCTGCTATGTAGCTGCATCTCTCTGTAATGCTAAAATTGGATGGGGCTACGTCAATCGTATCGACGTATACGTCTCCTGTAATCTCGTAAAAGCATCGCTTTTTACCCTTTTACGTGGGGTAGTGGCGCGGGAGAACACACTACGCCTCTTCCCTTTTTATAAATACGCCCGTGCCAACTCCTCATCGCGGACGCGCGGCGAACGGCGCGGCTCGTAGACGTCTCGCATAATCGTGTCTCGTTCTCAAACTCGGCAGATATGAATAATCGAAACTGAAACGTATTTACACGATGCGGAAGTTAAGCTGCTACCACTTTATTGACTGGCTCGATTCTGTCGATTTATCTATATGTATATGCCTGTCTAGGTGTCCATTTGTCGATCTGTCTAAAACTTCGAGCGTTCGGCAAATGTTTGGAGACAGACGTGAACAATTCAAACAAGGTTTCAGAAAAAAAAACATAAGAAAGAGAAAAAATATAATCAAGCGAAGACTAAGTGGAAATTTATATTAAAAAAGGTGTTGCGTCGCGGTGGAAGCGAAAGCGGACGGTTGGATCGACAGATTGAGAGACGATTAAGCGAATAGACTTTATTTCGACAATTACAAAAAAAACAACAAAAAAGGAGAATCACAATGATTATTATCGTAATCGCAAGTTCGCGGCGAACGAACGGCAAGGTGTCGGCGCGACGGAGCAACGCGAGCGACCGAAACCGAGAAAAACGAGAGCCTTTCTGAAAAAAAACTGACGAGCCTCCGGACGGGAGCTCTGTTATTTATACTCGAGGCATGTTGTTATCGAATATTTTTTAAATCGTGACAATGCCAAAAAACAAGCGCGCCGGATTGCACACCGTCATTGGGTCGCACGTGATCGTGGGGTGCCGGGCAGTCAGCTGATGTCACGAAACGTCGGTCGCCGATCAGCTGTACTCCCGGAAGTCCTTGCTTCGTCCCGGCTGTTTACGCATTTTTTATGATCGCGTTTTTTAACGCAACGACGACCACTCAGCTGAGCGGTCAAAGCGTGACTCTATCGCGACTTTGATGATTTGGCGGTTTCGCACAAAAGGACTATCAAGTGTAACTACAAATGGAATTTTTCTACATACACCAAAAAGTTTACAACATTTATGAAAATTAAAAATAATTTAGCTCAATGGAATTTTAACACTTAATAATATCACACATTTTTATAATAGAAATATTCACAGTGATTAAATAAGAAATAAATTTATATACTGTTTGTTCGAAAATTTCATTTATTTATTATAGGTAATTGCTATTTAAATTATAATGTAAAATAATTAACAAATTAAAAGCAATTAAATTAAAAGTAATTTAGTAAACATAAAATTGAATCGTGAATGAGCAAAAGGTCAAAATATAATAATTAATTGAAAAATGAGATCCTGTTAGTTACACCCTGCGATATCAGATTCCGGTGAGGGTTCCCGATGTTTTTAATCTAATCCAGCGTTTAAAATTAAATTTCCTTGTTTGTACAATAATCAATCCAATTTCATAAATTATTCGTATAAAACTTGTACAATAATCAATCCGATTTTATAAATTAAACTTCAAACATTATGTTCGTTAATCCACTTTAAAAGCGTACGAACTTTTTGCGGGAGTTTTTCACAGTTGCGAATTATGAATAGAGCAAGTTCTTTGCAATTAGATATGTTCTTCTCCGTGAAATTCTATATACTTGCAAATGAGCGGCCGACTTTGCCAAGGAGGCGTAAACACACCTTCGGGTACAGGAAAGACCTGAGGGAACGACGCCTCGGGATACGTACAAGGCGCGATATTATGTTCAAAACGAATGTAAAAAAAAACATGCATTTCTTCGCTACGTTCAAAAAAAAAGTTAGAAAAATTACCACTTGTCACACGCGAAACGCCTGCGCGTGTAATTATACGTAACGACGTAAACACGTAATGTTACGCTCCGTGACTTTCACACGTTTCTCTCTTCGTGCTCTCGTGAGATTCGCGTGCGCATAAATTTGAGAGTATCAAGACTTCGCATGTCACGTGTTAAATATTAATGAGAGAAGATAGCAAAGAAAAAAAATATATATATATAAATACAGGATGTCACAGTTTCAAAGAATTTTTCTCCATTCCCAATTAAAGATAAACAAATTATATCAATATTTATCGTTAGCATTCCAAAGAGAAATGATTGGTTGAATCGACGTCGAGTCAATTATTATTATTTATTTAGCGGGGATGTCAAGTGAAAATGCCAAAAACAAGAAAAAATAATACATATATATATACATATATATAGAATGTCACAGCTTCAAAGAATTTTCCTCCATTCCCTTTCAAAAGATAGACGAATTATGGCAATTATATACGAAATTATTATTTTCACTAGCATGAACGGATTCATGTCGTAGTTTATTTAATAGCGTCTGTCGATTTATCGGTCTATATTTATCGTACATTTTCGCATTGAATAGAAAAGATTCTAAGAATAAAGTAAAGCATTAGCCCCCTCCTCATATGCACCTCCCCAACACCGCGCGTAATTTATGCATTCTGATGTTTAATCTTTGAGCTGAGCACGTAATCCTGGCATTAAAGATAAAATCGTCGGATCGATAAAGAAAACGGAGCGATCCTGGAAATGAATATGCATTGTCCCGACTTCGTTACGACTTAAAAAGGTCTCTCGAAGAAAACCTGAATATTGGTGCATGGCCTCAACAGGTAGCGACTTCGGCTCGACATTCTTATGCGAATAATTTATGAGTCTGAATGCTTTTAACGCTATTTGCACAAGTGCACGGACCAAGTGGACTGATGAACCCTCGCTTAGAATTTCACGGATTGGATTTCGCGAAGCCCTCTTGTATCCAGATTGGATTTACCCGCAAAACGCCTGCCCTTTTACGTCCCATATGCTATATTATTTCCAAGACAGAGAACGCGAGTAAAACGGGATAAGAGTTCATCAGTGCAATGCAGACATCTGTACAACACAAATTGAATCGAAAGACTATCTATTGCAAGAAATGATCACTTGCGAGAGAAAAGTGTTTTGGTACTTGTGGCTATAATTGCCATGGTAAAAGAATTATGGTTAGCTCCATTTTTTATTAGTTGTTATTGCTTTAATGTTAGTAACAGAATTTTATTTATAGTTATGTCAAACAAATATATAGTTGGCACCGAGAATCACTATATACACTCTAGTTAAATTGTGACAATTGCAACTATTTTTTCTCTCGCAATCAGTCAATTTTTTTTTCTCCGAAAAGTAGAAATAACTATATACGTCAACTCGGACTTTTCCGTAAAATTGTACACCCAGCACATTCCAAACAACTTTGTCTTCTTTATATAGAAAGAGGGTCGTCTTTCGCGAACGTTTCTATTATAAACCGTAAGCATCTGAAAAGGCAATATACATCGGAGAGAGTTTATGTCTCTTATTGCACCGCGATGATGTACGAGAACACGTCATCGAACGGGGCAGGATAATTTTTCAAAGCGGTGCACGAAACTCGCCGATGACACTACGCTTTAAATTCGTTCCTCGACGGATAAAAGAGCCCTTTCACGGCGGTCTTAACGTACAGCGGCAACAAGGAACCCGGATGGACGATAGCGTAAAGCCTTTGTTCACGCTTGCTCGTCCCGATGCTCCTCCGTCATTACGTATTTCTCGTGTAGCGCTCAATGACGTCTCTCCTTGCAAAAGCGCGCACCGGCTACATCCTCTCCTCCGTCGCTTTCATCTCCGAGGAATATTTCAGCAGTAGCGACCGTCGAGCATAAGCCCCGCGATGTATTTTGGCATCGATAAAAGGCCTGGGCTAACGTTACATCGTTTCTCTGCGCCGACCAATTCAAAGGATGCGGCGAATTACCATTTTCCGCAACCGCTTCCGTCCCGCCGTCAGCGGCGATTGTTGCCTTCTCGGTGGACAATTACCGTTATCTGTATGACTAATTGTCGACAGTTGGAGGTAAGAAAAATGCGCGAGGAGCTTTGTACAAGCCGTAATAAAAAAAAAGAATCCCGAAAGCTTTCCTCTTTCGGCAATATAAGCGATGGAAGATGAATCTTAATCGCTTTTCGCACATTAAAAAGTCTAAGAGCTCGCTTATAGTTTGTTAAAGCATTAAAAAAGACAAAGCTTGAAGCAAATAAATGGTAAAACCTTGTCTTATTCTTCGCTTGGTTTTAAAAAGGTTTTAATTTCGCAACAATTTTACTTCAGTACTTTCGTTAAATCAGTAAAAAGAAAAACTTAATATTAGAAGTCAGCAAAAGAGTTGTGAATAAAAGCGGCGAGCAATTAAATGTTTTGAGAAAAGAATCATTCCAAGTTATTAAAAAGAATTCCCGCCAATTAATATCTATATATTGTAAATCTTATTACGTATATTTAAAAAATAAATATATACATTTGAACACACACACACACACACACACACACACCTACCTACCTACTTACCTACCTACATATGTACACATATACACGCACCTACGCTGTGTTTACGGCATGCTTTGCACTTTTGCCACTTTTGCTGTGGTTTTGTAGCGTGTTATGATTTAATATCGATAAGAAATTTAAATCTTGGTATAATGAAGACTCTACTGTATTTTTAATACTTATGTATGGTTAACGTTTTTAAAGAAAATACATATGCCTGCTACGTGTTGCGAGCATATTTTATCACTCGTACATTACTAGATATAGATCCTGTATTTACTAATCTTTTCTGTTGTTAACGAAACATGAAAGCAATAATCGTCCGACATTCACAGAACAAAAACATACAATATAATGAATGTGGTAGCAATAAATCCGAGCACGGAGAACTGTATATTATTCTAGATGTAATATCTACGATCATAAGTGTTTTGTACGAGTCCTAAAATGATGTTACTGATGAAAATAAGGAAACAAGTTATAATTTATAATAATATATTATATGTTCGTATTATATACGTTTTTTTATTCTTTCGTGTTTATTACTTTTTTGAAACGCTTTTAAATAATGCGAATTGAATAGAGCAAGCAATCGTTCATTCAGCGTGATTTGTTTGAAACAAGCAATATCAAAAAACGAATGCAAATAATCCATGATACTTTACAACGCTTGTAAAATTATCGTTCGCTGTCGGTTTCAACGTTGATTTCAACGTCGCACGCGATATGCAAGCACATCAAGATCGCACACTACACGAAGACTACGCTACTCGGTTCGATATAAAACTGCATCCCTTCTGAATGTAATTATAATCTCCCGCTTGACAGCATTTTCGCGCTCGCGATACAATATGCGAAATTAGTAGAAACTAGGCCAAACAAAAGGGGGTACCATCGTCTTATCGTGATACCGCCAAGATTTAAAAAGAGTCTCCATTCTGCAGCATCAGTGATTTAATTACTACGACCGTGCAGGTTCGTAGCTTTAATGCGAGGTCTTCACAACTTTCGATCGAATTTCCCTTGCTCATGTAACGATATAAAATGTCAGTAACATATTACCGAATCGAAACAAATTTTCATTTTTGTGATACTGCAGTATTCTGTTTATTCACAACAATGAGAAACTGGTTTACGACGACTATAGAGAGAATTGGATATTAATTCATGCCTGATGCTGCAAGATAATAGGCAGCACCACAGGTATCACTGTTAAAAGTAAAAAAAAAGGAGAGTATTAGATGATTCGAAAATAGACTACATCTACACTCGATATCCAATTGCAAGTTCCAATGTGCATATTAATTAGCAACATTTTATCGCACTGCAATATTCTTCCGTTACTCACTCGATCTAGCTTTTCGTAAAAATATTTTTAAAATCTAATTCGAAAGAGAGCATACGGATGACTCTAAATGACACCACGAATTTCGCCGGCTTCGACTTCAAGCCTTTGCGAAAAATGAAGTTCATAAAGCACGAATGGAAGTCGAGCGCCATGAGTACCGGGTTTCTGAACATGAAAAAAGACGCGGTCGTTTGTTTTTCCAATTTGTTTTGCGAGTTAGGTCCCGGTTTATTGCGGCGAGGCACACTCGCAAATATTATCATTTTGCGCATCGTTCCATGAAACGGAACACGTCCTATAAGCCTGATCACCGAGCGATTGAACATCATTGGTTAGCTTCACAGATAAGAGCCAATCATGTTCAGTCGTTCAATGAGTAGGCTAAATGCTATGCCAGCTTGAATGCGCCCATAGTGTGATATTTGAGAGACAAGTGACTGGTTCAAACTGAAAAAGATTGATGGAGGAGCCAACGCGACAGGAAGTGCATGCGAAGGAAAAATCTAGCGTGTCCAAAAACGATGATGGTACAGCGCAAATTAGTGAAAATGCATTGGATTCGAGTATCGATCTAAATTATGATGTTTTGAGAATTATCTTTGAATATTTAAATGGCAGGAATCTGGCGAGCGCTGCGATGGTTTGCAAGTACGTATCGATGATGCATTAATGATCCATGCTCGATTTAATTCTGAACACTTATTTAATACAAGGCTATAATTATGATTTTCTCATCATGTGTATGTGAAAGAATATGAGATTTGATTTACAAATAATCTCTTGTGGCATTTCA